AAAAACGAACTACAAACATATTAACGCCAAACATTCGGTAGAATTTATAGAATATTGTAAAAATTATGGTCTATTACCGACATATATATATAAAAATATAAAAAATCTCTCTATCTATATATATATATATATATGTTGGTAATATATATATATATATATATATATATATATTTCGTTATTATAAATAACGATCTGACGTGGAATTTTGATTTTGAGGTCAATTTATACGCTATAATTTTGAACTGAAATAAAAAAATTATCATTTTACCCAACACTGGTTAGATGATCTGTTTGAATGCAGCTGGGCTGAATTTTCAATTGTGTGGGCATTCTCAAACAAAAAAAAAACAAAAAGGGTTTTAAAAAGTTGCCGATGTGGCGGCTTTATTCAGCTTATCACACATTTTTTACAATGTTTTCTTTATAACTATTAATTTATGAATATGTGACTTTGATGTTTTTTATCTTTATTGTGGAAGCGTTTTTTAAAAGCTCTAAACTGCATCATTTTAATGTACAATTAACTGCTTTATTATGTGGCGATGTGGAGTTCGTAAGTACATTTGTATATAAAAACAAACTAAGTATCAAAATGTACTTACATTGTTATACCTAATTTTTTTTATAAAAAACCTTTTATATATGCTCATATTTAAGTACTTTCTCAAGTACTGGTACTTAAAAATAATTACATTTTCTTATTAAAACTGATATTTTATAAATTTCCATGTTAAACATAAACTTTGCCATTTGCCACCTAAGTTTGATTGTATGTAGATATTTATGTATGTTTCTATGTCTGGATGTATTTTTGTATATTAATGTGTCTTTTGTGTCTGAGATGGTGTGTGTATGTGTGTGTGTGTGTGTGTTGTGTGTGTATATGTCTACTGTATATTCATCAATGAGCATATTATATATATTTATGCAAATATATATTTAAACACAAAATTTCAGTTCAAAAATATTTCCGGTTTTTATGTTATTTGCATTATTCAATTTTAACAATTTTTATGTTTCAAATTTGAAAAATACATTGTTTGTTGCTTCAATAAAACACTTGCTGCATTAGTCTGAGGGCATGAGTGTCTGCAAAAATTCTGGGCATCTGTTAATTGCGGTCTACCAACGTCATCTGTCCATGTCAAAAATACATTTAATTATGGTTGATGACGATTTGAAAAAATTTAAATAAAATAAAAAATGAGTTAGTAAGCAATATAAACAATTAAACATTATAGCTTGATTCACAACAATTGTTTGAACCGTTTTGATGGTAGAATGCTGGCCGGGGTCCACCATGAATGAGGTAATCGATTGCCTCCGTCAAACGTCTAGCTCGCTTTTCGACCGGAATCCTGTTCAAACCTGCTTTGATGTTCTCTTTCAAAGCTTCCATATCAAAATATGGCTGATCAGAATTGACATTCGAGTATACCACCATTGTAATAACAATTAATAAGATGAGCTTAGCGTGCAAATTTATTTCAAATTTATTTCAAATTTCGGATATATTTTCTAACATAATTTAAACTTTTTTAATCCATAATATTAAACTGTTGGTTTCATTTAAAACCGTATTGCTACGATTTAACAATGCCAAAGATTTGAAATAGCAAGTTATCTACAATATCTAAAGCCCTCTCCGCAATAAGGAGTTTAAGGTAAAATTGAACAACTGGACTTATATATATATATATATATATATATATATATGTATATATATCAGAGGTGGACATGGGTTGGGTTAACCCATGGGTTGGGTTGGGTTGGGTTGGGTTAACCCATGGGTTGGGTTGGGTTG